TGGGGGGGGGGGGGGGGGGGGTTCCCAAAGGATAGGAGTCACCCAATCTTGAGAAATCCACATGTAAATCAGCCAGAGAGAATGCCAAATGATCGTCTCAAGATTCCAAAATGTATCACATCTCCAACAGGGTGCGTAAGGGCAAAAGGCAGCCAACGCGTCTCGGGGGCCACAAATCCCCCTTCATTAGGGCTTGAACAATGTAACAAAAAGGTATCTATAGGAACCGAAGCAAAAGCGCCTGGATGGAAATGTCGGCAGGAGAAAGTTATCAGGTAGTTATTCCTGATCTCAGGTTGGTTGTGTCTCATCATGATTGGAGGGGTGGACTGTCACCAGTGCGCCCGCAGCTGAGCTGCCGAGGTGGGAGGTCTGACATAAAAACCTAGGCGATTGGATATACTCATTGCTGGGGAAAGAATGGTGTGTGAGCAACAAGAGACATCAGGCTCAATAAGACAAGAGGATTACAGCGATCAAGGATGCATGAAGCAATCATACCCAAGTCTCCCAGGTAGACCAGGCAGCGGTGGCATGCCATCTGGGCCCAATCCATCTCCTTGGCTGAAGCAGACACAGGTTTCTTACATCCTGAAGGGAAATAAAGTAATAGTGCATTAAAGCAAACTGTTCCTGAGTGACACAAGGTGGGAGAGCGAGAGGGACAGAGCGAGAGAAAGAGAGAGAAAGAGAGAGAAAGAGAGAGAAAGAGAGAGAAAGAGAGAGAAAGAGAGAGAAAGAGAGAGAAAGAGAGAGAAAGAGAGAGAAAGAGAGAGAGAAAGAGAGAGAGAAAGAGAGAGAGAAAGAGAGAGAGAAAGAGAGAGAGAAAGAGAGAAAGAGAGAAAGAGAGAAAGAGAGAAAGAGAGAAAGAGAGAAAGAGAGAGAAAGAGAGAAAGAGAGAGAAAGAGAGAAAGAGAGAGAAAGAGAGAAAGAGAGAAAGAGAGAAAGAGAGAAAACACCCAGCCCATGAGGTTGATTTACTACAGAAGTTGAGAATATTCACGTCAATTATCCAAAAATGTGAAAAGCACATTCCTACGATAAAAATAAATAAAAATCGGCTGTGTGGGGGTGACTGACCGATCAGGGGGTCGGTGACGTGGGTCCAGTCGATGCAGTACTGCAGCTCCAGCTGGTAGTGGGACTGGATGTAGAGGAGGAGATGCTGGTAGAAGCCCACCCCGGCAATCAGGTGGGTACGGTAGGCACATTCTAGGGCACTCCGGCTGTGGATGTGCTGCGGGTGAATTATCAGAGATTAGAGAAATAATAGCTCTATAGCTAAAAAATTCCTAGCCCACCCCAATATCTAACAGCTGCCACTACAGGCTGCCC